ACGGCGATGTCGACGATCGTAGAGAAAAAAGGGAAATTAAGGTGAGTAATGATTTGAGGGCAGGAGCCTCTAGTGTAATTTTTGAAATTATAGGCCCCTGCTTGTAATTTCAAATTGAGAGTCGGTTTACAAATGACAACGATGGTGGTTGTGGTGGTGTAGTAGGAGGTGGTAGTAGTGAAGAGCGTCCGTGACCAATTATTTGAAAAAATTGTGACCTATAAATTTGTTAATTTGTAATGGTTGTGTTGTTGGCTACAGTGGTGAAGGCGGGTGGTGGTGGTTGCAATGGGTCTATCAAGGTGGTGGTATTTTTTTGCGATGTGTTGATTTGTTTGAGGTGGTGGTAGTTCTGGCGGCGAAGGTGGTGGTGGTGCTGCTGGAAGGAGTGGTGAGGTGATAATCACAAGTGTTGGTTGTGGTCACAAATTATTTGATTGATTGTGATCATTAAATGGTTAATATGTGACTAATAAACAATATATGACCAATGAAAAATATAAATTGTGATCAAAAAATAATGTGTGACCTAATTTTTTTTTAATTTGTGACTGATAATTTGACAATTTATGACAATCTATTAAATTGTGACTTATAATATTTGTGATTTGTGACTGATGAACAAATTGTGACTTATAAAATTTTTGAATTGTGAACGTAAAATAATTTGTGACATTAAATTTTTTATTTGTGACCGAAATATAATATGTAACTAATTAAATTGTTATTTTGTGACCAAATTATATAAATTTGTGACCTTAATATATTTAATTAATTAAATCATAAACAAATTTTAATTAGTATCTGATTTTTGAAATATGAAACATTTGTTCTTACTTAACCTCTCATTTATGAATTTTTCCATATTATTTTATTGAAAAATGTGTGATTGAAATATTGTTAAAATACTATTGAAGAATGCATTTTTTTTTTTAAGAAATTGGGGCTCAAACAAGGGCTGTGTGTTATATTATTTTATTGAATAACGTATGGTTAAAAATGAGAGAGACAATGTTTATATCCTACATGAATAAAAATTATATATATATAAAATACTAATGGTGGGTTTTATGTACAATAGAGATGAGATGACGTAGAGAAAGATTGAAGATAAATTATAAAAAAAAAATTAATGTATATATATCCTCCATGAATAAAAATTAAAAATGATGAAAAAGAAGCCCATCTTTAATTTCCATCAACAACTTCATTGGTGATATTTTTATTTATCTATTTTTCATACTTTGTTCTCTGGATAAAAATAAAGATGATTTCGTCATTTTCAAGAATCACTCTTGTTACGAGTCACAAACAGAAGCGACACGTGGCACCATATTTTAGCAGTGAGACCAGCCTAATTAAATAATGGTATATTTTCCTAGCCTCCGAC